AATTTTTTTTAACCATATCATAGTTTAAATTTCACAGACCAAACCAACCAAATTCAAAGAGAGAGCTTAATGAAAGTTGAATGGAATTGGTTCCTTATTCATCTCTCCACTTTGCTTTTGTTTTTGTAGCTTTTCAATCTCATCCATCCAAATTTGACCCCACGAATCTGTTCTTCTTCTTCTCCTTCCTTTCTCTATTTCTTCCAAACCCTTTTGAATTTGAGCTCATACAACACTTATGTAGGGATTATTACACTCACCCACTTCATACAATATAGTTTGCTACAACTTCCAAAATGGCCACTACAAATCCAACCATTTCTAAGTCCTCGAAACCGTTTGATGCTTCTTAGGGCTTCGTTAGAGACCCTCGACTAGGTCTTCGAAATTCAATTGGATCTTATCATTCAACCTCGAACCGAACCGTTCAACTTCCGAATCACCTAAAACAGAAGTCTTTATCTAATAACCTAAAAAAACAATCAAATGAGTATAAAGTGTATATATATATATATATGAAATGGTATAAAAGGTAAGGGATTTGAGTTTGGTTCATATAGTGAATCATGGAAGAAGGGGTATAAAGGACCATTTCTCATGGTTTCATGTAGTGTTCCAGTCATATCCTAATTTATTCTTTTTGGGTTTAATAAATTCAAGTTGGGTTTAATAAATTCAAGATTAGGAAAGAAAAATTTTCCATGACGGACCCTCTAACATAAATTTCGAGTTGGGAATAGAGTGGTGGCTTATTCAGTGTTGGTCATAGCGAGTAAGCATGGTAGCAGTATCTAAAGCCGAAGCTGATTGACGAGATTGAGCCTCCAACATAAATTTCGAGTAGGGAATAGAGTGGTGGCTTATTCAGTGTTGGTCATAACGAGTAAGCATGGTAGCCGTATCTAAAGCCGAAGCTGATTGACGAGATTGAGCCTCCACTCGAATTTACATGTTCGGGTGGGATGATTTTTACGGAAATATTAATAAATTTTTTAAAAAATAAATAGAGAATCTTTTGGCAAAGTAAAGATTGGATAAAAAAAAAAAAAAAAAAAAAAAAAAGCACCCTATTCCTTTCTCCCCTTATTTCCCATCTCGCATTTGTTCTTGAATCTCGTAAGTATTCCCATTCCCACACAGAGATCTGTGAGGCTCAGCTGCAGAGAGAGCGTAGAGAAGAGAGAAATTGAGAATGTTCCATACCACCAAGAAGCCCTCCTCTATGACTCCTCATGATAGGCCAATGTGTGTCCAAGGAGATTCTGGTCTCGTCCTCACCACCGACCCCAAACCCCGTCTCCGTTGGACCGTCGAGCTCCACGAGCGCTTCGTCGATGCTGTTACTCAGCTCGGAGGCCCTGATAGTACGTATCTTCTCTCACTAACTTCTAGCCTCGTCTTTTAAACCTCATATTTTAACCCATAATTCTTTCGTAGAAGCCACTCCCAAGACGATCATGAGGGTCATGGGCGTCAAGGGCCTCACTCTCTACCATCTCAAGAGCCACCTTCAGGTTACCGTAACCCATCCGCTTAAACTTTTGAATTAAGTAATAATTTCAATAGGACATTGAAAATTCCTCGTTGGGTTATGTCCTAATTTGAATATAAATTCAATCGAATTAAGCTTTTGAGTTTAGTGGTCGTTTAACATTCTCTTCTCTCTAAACGAGAGTTCAGAAGTTTAGGCTCGGGAAACAACCCCACAAGGAATTCAATGATCAATCGATAAAGGATGGCATGAGAGGTGAATTTCAAAATTCCCTTCTAATTTCAAACTTTCAAACATAATATTAAGCAAATTATATTCTTTGTGCTTACAGCTTCCGCCATGGAACTTCAGAGAAACAGTGGATCTTCTTCAACCTTAATGGAGCGTAGTATGAACGAGTAAGGCCACACTTCGTTTATTATTTATTGTCTGAAACAATATCTACCGCTTAAAATGAAACAATAGAGAGTTAAGAAATAGAATTGGGATCGAAAGTTCAATCTTCGTTGATATTCCCAACATGATACAAGCTATCAACTAATATCGAAAATATAAACTAACTAAATTTTGAGAATAAAATAAAATATACTACTAATCAAAATATTAATAGATTAAGAATATATAAGATATATTCTATAACTAGTATATTCTCCAAATATTAACTGATTACGAATATTTTGACTAATTCAAACAAGTGGTTAGTTAGCACTAAATTTTGACAGTCTCTTTTGCTTTCTTTTGGTTTTTTATTTTTTTTGTTGAGAGGGTGTCGGTGTGTTTTCTTGTATGACAAATGCTGTCTCATCATTCTAATTTTACTGAACATCTAACCTTAAACCTTACAAAAAAAAACATATTTGTCTGCTAGAATGCAATTGGAAGTTCAGAGACGGCTGCATGAACAAATTGAGGTTAGCCCATTTGTTTGTTATGATTATGTAATTTTGATTTGAATTATATCGTTGGACCCAAGAGTTTAGTATTGATTTTCCTTTACAAGTTGGTGCAAATTTGAAGATATCGAGTTTTTTTTTTTTCTTTTGTTGGTTCGTGTGGGGTCCCATTCGGTTGGAAAGAGAAACGAAACATTTCTTATAACAGTGTGAAAACCTCTCCCTAATAGACACTTTTTAAAACCATGAGGCTGACGGCGATATGTAACGGATGGTGCAAGGCTGTGGGCTGTTAGAAATGGTATTAGAGTCAATCACCTGACGGTGCAAGGCATTGGTCAGAGTACAGCTAGACCCTGTCCATAATAGGCGCATTTTAAAACCTTGAGGGGAAATCTAGTAGGGAAAGTCCAAAGAGAACAATATCTGCTAGCGGTGAGTTTGGGGTTTTACAAATGGTATCAGAGCCAATCACCGAACAGTGCGAGACACTGATCGGAGTAGGGCTAGACCCTCTCTCCATAGTAGACGCATTTTAAAAACCACAAGGGGAAGCTCTTAAAAGGAAAGCTCAAAGAGAACAATATCTACTAACGGTGGGTTTGAGTTGTCTGCTATCAGTGGGTTTGGGTTGTCTGCTAGTGGTGGGCTTGGGCTGTTACAAATGGTATCAAAGTCAATCACTGCACGGTGCAAGACACTGGTCAGAGTAGGGCGAGACCATCTCCATAGCAGACGCGTTTTAAAACCTTGAGAGGAAGCCTAAAAAAGAAAGTTCAAAGAGAACAATATCTGTTAACGGTGAGTTTGGGATATCACAAATGGTATCAGAGTTGGTCACTGAATAGTGCGATGTACTGGTCGGAGTAGGGCTAGACGCTCTCCATAGTAGATGTGTTTTAAAAACCTTGTGGGGAAGCCCTTAAAGGAAAATCCCACTAAAAACGCTAATGGTGGGCTTAGGTTGTTACAGTACAATTGTAGTGGGGTAAGAAAGGTATTAGATCATCAAACTTTTGAAGGATAATTAGTGTCTCATCCATTGAACTACGCTCGGTTTGAGCTTACAGTTTTATTTTGATTCATGAGGCAAGTATGTGAGCTATTGACGTGGAAACAGGAATTTAATTAATTTTTGTAGGTACAAAGACACCTTCAATTGAGAATTGAAGCTCAAGGCAAGTACATGCAAAGCATATTGGAGAAAGCTTGCCAAACCCTAGCCGGCGAAAACATGGCCGTCGCCAGCACCGCCGCCGGACCTTTCAAAACCACTTCCAACAATATGGGAACAACCAGTACCAACCTTGTTCCAGACGCCGCCATCAAAGACTTCATTTCACCTCATCCACCTCACACCTTCCCTCCTTTTCAAGACATGAACAACCTATTTACCTCCGAACCGCCGCCGCCTCCGCCGCCTCTCATCGACTGCCTCAAGAAGCCCAGCCCCTTCATCTCTGGCGCCGGTAAGGCCCCCATTTTCTGGCCCGACGATCTCCGACTCCAGCACTTAGGAACCCCTTCAGCCACCTTAGTACCGCCGCCGCCTTCCATTGGCAGCCCACCGGACTTGGACTCTCTACAACTGGAAATGTATGAATCAAAACCGCCACCCCTGTCACCGCTGCTCGTTGGCAACGACGCGATGCATGAAAAGAAGTTCGACACGTCGATAAAGCTTGAGAGGCCGTCACCACGGCAGTCGTCGGGACATTCCGACGAAAGGGTGAATAATAATAATAATGGTATGCCCAACAATAGTAACCCTACGATGTCACAGCCACAGGGAAGAAATTCTTCATTTGGTTAATTAATTGATGTTTTATGTGTAATAATTAGTGACTTAAATTTGAATGTAACTAATTAAATATAGATTAGGGTTTAGATCTTAACAAATGCTCATACTCATTATTATGTTTGCATGTAACTCTTCTTCTCGCCCTTGTATTGATTTTGCTCTGAGAAATGTGAAGTATGAAAATTTGAATTTTCGACTTCAAGAAAACGAATACATGGTTATGTGATCACATTTTTTCATGTTTTCATGATCGAGATACTTATTCTAAACAAAATACTCATATCGTGTTCTATCACGAGGGGTAGATCGCAAATAACGAGGGACAACTAGTGATCTATCTAATTCAACTGACTATTTGGATTGGGTTATCAACATAATTGAGTCGAGTTGTTCTAAGTCTACAGTCAACAGATATCGTCAATTTTGGTCCGTTACATATCATCTTCAGCCTCATGGTTTTAATATACGTCTGCAGGGAGAAGTTTCCACACTCCTATAAGAAATGTTTCGTTTCCCTTAAATGAAAACTTTACCAGTTGGTTCGGTTGGGTTGAGTTGTCTAAAACATGTTTCAACCCGACCCAACTTAACCTATGAACACACTCATTTTAGTTTACCGTCAATTTAACATACACAAATATAAGCAAAGTAACGTTAGCTTCACTAACCTAACCGATTAGCGATCAAGACATCAGTAACTTCATTAATACAAATTTGTTCGAACACGACACAAAAAAACGAACAAAGAAGGTAAAAGGTAGGATTTGAAACAAATGAAGGTATAATATTGGTTCCTTAATTTGGACAAACAAACAAAACAAACATGATTCTATTACACATGTAAATGCTAAAAAAAAAACCATTACATGGAATCCTTAAACTATCTTAATTTCATGTTATGATATTGTCAGCTCTCTCTCTCTCTCTCTCTCTCTCTCTCTCTCTCTCTCTCTCTCAACATGCAAAAATCATATCTTTTTCTCTCTCTACATTATATTTTAGAGATTGATTTTAGTGTGTAACCTGTAAATTTATAATGTACAGTAAACGTAAGCTTTGGAATTGAGGATCTTACGTTACTGTAATAAGGAAGAGTACTGCTGGACATTATGATCTTCTTGCATGGGAACACTACATGCAGACAAAATCTCCTCTAAACTTCCATTCATCGACTCTCTAAACTTGTCGAACTTCACGTACTCGTCCATGCACTCGACTTTCATCCATGTCTTCGTTTCCCCCATTATGTTCAGCTGAGGGAAGTCCTCGAGCTCCAATGGCGGGTAGTAAGGATGTTGGTAATGAAGATTGCTCGGTATCTACAAAATACGCATACGATCCAATATATCTTATTAAATCCGACACGAGCATAGTTGATCGACTCAAGACTTTTTAGGGTTAATAAGTAATTAGTTTGGTCAAAAAAGGGTTATGGAGGATGGTGAAAAGAGACATTTTTGGGGGAAAAAAATTAAGATTTGGTGATTTTTTTAAATAAAAAAAAAAAGATAAAAAGATAAGTCAAAGGGCTTGTGAATGTGGACCATTCATATATAAAAATACTTGGCATCTTAATTATAATTAAATTTAAATTAGTAAACTCATTAAAAGAAAAAGTAAATTAGACCTACTTTAGACTATTTATAATAAAGATTAAATCATTCAAAATGTCTTAAATGTCTTCTTGATTTCAATTTTTACCTTTAATTTTGATTCTAATCTCAATCTTAATTTTTAATAACCCATGTAGTTTTTTTTTTTTTTTTTTTTACTTTTTACTTTTTACTTTTTTTTCACATTTTTTTAAGTTTCAATTTTGTCCCTTTTTTTTTCAAAAATAAATTAAAAGATTAGAGATAAAATGGAAACTTTTATAATAATAATTGAAAATATAATAATATAATAACCAAGTTCATTAGAAAATCTATGATAATTAAAAAATATATATAATCGTTTCATACCGTCAAAAAAATAATTTTTTTAAAACCGTAATAAATAAAGTTATATAGCTTATTCGAAAATAATAATAAAATGAGAACGAAATTGGAGAGGATTACGTGTTTATTCATGCATGAAATTATAAATAAATTAAATAATTTTTTTTAAAAAAAAAAAATTAATTGTGTAATTTCATAGCATTGAATGAACTAAAATGGTTGAAAGTTTAGAAATACCTGTATGAAATTTGAAGGGCATTCAATGTGAATTGGATACAGATTATTTGCTGCACTATTGGCTTCGTTATCGGAGGCCACCGGAGCCGGCAAGTCGTCGGCGACATTCCCTTGTGTGAGATCGGAGGAAGAGTTTTCAGAGCTGAAGATTTTAGGGTTGTACTCATGAAGAAGGTGATCAAAACTATCACCATCTTCATTGCTTTCTATCCCTCCTCTCAAGCTTTCCGCCCCTCCGCTCTCGTCGACTTGCATGTCTTGCTCGTCTCCCATCTGCCACAACGGTGCTTTGACATCAACTCCGCTTGCCTTTTCCCTTACAGGTTTCGGTATTTGGGTTGTCTTCTTGAATACACGACACAATGCATAAGAGTCCTGTATCAATGTCAAAATATAAGTGAACAATATTGATTATTTCGTTAAAACTTTTAGGTTTAGTGGTAATTTCGAATAGTTTTGAGTTTCGTGTTAATGTTTGAACTAACAAGTGTTTATAAATTGAACTTTTACCCTAATTTGAACGTATTCATTTTTTTCGAGAAATTATTCTGATCTTTTTCTCTTTGGTTTAGTTGATGAAGGGAAAAAAGAACCAAAAAGGAAAACACTTGAGAGATCTTTTCTTAGGGTTCATGTTCATCATCTTCACTTTTAATAATCCAAACCCGAAAACGAAGAAGAAGGAAAAGAAAAGGACCTTTGTCGAAGAACACGACGCCGCAGTGGCGTGTTGAGAATGAAGAAGACGATACTCGTGCATAACCCAATTGGTTCTAATCCCATGAGGAGCTCTTCCTTTATAATACACCAAAGTCTTCTTCATTCCAACCACCCGTTTTTGCGACTGAACCACTCGATCTTTTCCAGTAGCCTTCCAATATCCGCCCCTCGTCGCCCGATTCGTTCTCGACCCATTCGGGTACTTTCGATCCCGAGGGCTATAGAAGTACCACTCCATATCTATGCTTGGCAAAAGGGACTTATCTGAAAAAGTAAAATCATTAAGAAAACACGAACAACACAACAAAGACAAAAACGAAGGAAACAACGAAACATTACCAGGTAATTCCCAAGGTTCGCACTTATAAAGATCGATCTCGGGGATGATCTCGAGCTCGATGGAGCGGCCATTGATCTTTCTATCCAAATAGTAAGCAACAAGCTCTTCATCTGTGGGGTGGAAGCGAAAGCCTGGAGGGAGGGTCATGGGAGCCATTGAAATAGAGCTTTGAAGATATGAGTTTTTGCTGTTTCTAGAGAGAGAAGAAGAGATGAAGGGGACCGAATTGTTGGAGATAGAAGTATATAAAGAGGGAGTTTGTGGGGGGGAAAAAAGAATTGAGCTGAAAAATGAGATTATATTACAGAGTGGAGATTGCTTTTTCTTTCTTTTTGTTCATAAAATCTGACAGCTGAAGGGATTATATGGGAAGAGATGAATATGTCTTTGTTCTTTGGATGATTTCATCACCTAAGTGAAACCTTTTTCTCATGTGATTCTCTTTTTATTTAAACCCATAATTTTACCCAAACTTAACCTGGCTTCTTGGCTTCTAATTCTATACGACAACCATCGAATTCAACCCGGGAATAAAAAGTTAACTTAACCTGGCTTCTAATTCTATGCGACAACAGAACACAATCGAATTCAACAAGTGAATAAAAAGTTGGATCTCAGATGAATCGTCCCATTTATCCTCTTGATGAGAAGTTTAGTTTCAAACCCTAATTCAAACGGTAAAAATACGTCTTGCTAATGAACCTTGGATGATCCACATCATGAGTAACTAAAAAAGTGATTTAATCTAGCAATGGAAGGGTATATGTGTAAATATGCATGAGAGAGAGGGAGAGTGGGGGGCTTTACGGCTTTAAAGGGAGATTCTAGGAGTAAAATAGGACGGTGCATAGTGTGAAAACGAGGCATGCATGCGTATTATACATTATAATAAATTTTATATTTTATATTATATAGTTAGATGTATGTATATTATATTTAATAAAATTTGTATTATATAGTTAGAGAGAGACAGAGGGAGAGGATATATGATTAAGAAGCTTCGTCTGCAGAAAGCTTTTGTCTGCTCACAAACTAACAAAAATAATATATAGAGAAACGCATTGACAGCCTCAACTTGGGACCAAAAAAACAACAAACGATATTCACCGTTAGGTATGACCATTAGCCTCACGATTTTGAAATATATGAAATGTTTCATTGTTCCTCTTTTCATTCGATGTGGGATCTCACAATCCACTCCCCTTGGGGGCCTACATTGGCACACCACTTGATGTCCCACTTCGATACCATTTTTAATAGCCGAAACACACCGGTAACAAATATTGTACACTTTAGCCCGTTCCCTTATAAGAAATGTTTCGTTATCCTCTCCAACCAACGTGAGATCTCACAACCTTAATTGCAAAAGCATTTTAAACACAGAGAGAGTATCATACTTCTTATGTTTATAACTTGACCGTGCATTAAGTGATATGTTATTTCAATCTAAAGTGAAAAAGAAAATTCCTAAACTTTCCTCTGTATTTGAAGAACATCCATCTATCACAAATATTTCAAATTGCTAGGACTTGAAATAGACGTAGAAGTGTTCGAGTCTCAATTTTCACTACTACACTGTTCTTGTCTAATATTCCTAACAAATTTCTAGAGTTTCTACTCTAGGGATAGTTTTGAAATGTTTAGAGGAAAGATACGAAAACTTTTCCTTCTTTTCATAATACTTAAAAAAAGATCTATAACGCTAGAATTAATTAGCCCACAAGAGAGGGATCTATAACGCTAGAATTAATTAGCCCACAAGAGAGGGAGCGGGTAGCAGTATGTATGAAAGACCAACTTTTTTGGTTGTACAGTGGGAACCCAACAATCTACCTGTCAAACTCTAACAATGGCTGCTTTTGCTTTCCCCACCATCCATTTTTCCCCCCTTTTCTTTTGCAATCCAAAACCATTCCTCCTATTTCTTCCTATTCCTATTCCTATTTCCTATGCCCCTTGTCCTATAGCTTTGTTCACTTTGGCCTTTTTCTTTTTCTCTCTGGTTTTTCTTCACCCATAATTTAATCTCCTACCCTCCCACTTTAACTTTCCTCTCCTTAAAATATCATTTTCATTTCCACAAAAGATCCACTCCCCACTTTAATGATTACTGCGCACAATCTTTGACTGGTTTCTCTTTCTCTCTCTTTCTCACAAATCTACCCAGAAATGACAGAGTTTTCATTCCACTCAGTTCATGGGGAGGCGTAGAAGCAGAACAACAACAAGAACAACAAGAAGCAGCAGTAATTTCAACAGTTATGCGTGCTTTCAGAGCCATGCTATTGCACTTTTAGGAGATGTCATTTTGAACATAAGTACACAACAATAATGAACAAGCAGAAGAACACAGAGACCAAAAGATAAACAAACAAATAAAAAGGGCTTGTTTTTGACAAGGGTTTTTGAAAATTTTGAATCTTGAACTAATCATGTCATGAGACTCACATTTGCAATAAAGGGTCTCTTCTCTTTTTTTCATAATAGTTATCAACTATGAAAAACATGTTTCAATATCTTTTTGATATCATTTAAAATTATTTTGTGTTCTGATTTTGTTCAGTGACATGATCATGAAGAATTCTTGACAATACAGGCTTGTCTTCTGAGTATTTCAATGATATATAATTGGGTAATGGACTATGCATATATAATACAACATTCTTCTACAAAACATACATGTTTTGATGATGGAGCGTCAAAATTCTAATTATCATCTGTAAGGTTCAAATCTCTCCACCACACTTCTTTTTCAACCTTTGTAAGAAAAGAAAACAACCACCACAAGATAAATGCTGTTAATTATAAGAAAGATTAAATGACTCAAGATTCCACATAGGTTGGGGAGGAGAACGAAGCATTCCTTATAAGGGTGTGGAAACCTCTCCCAAGCAGACGCGTATTAAAAACCTTGAGGGGAAGCTCAAAAGTGAAAGTCCAAAGAGGACAATATTTGCTAGCAGTCGACTTGGGTTGTAACAAATAGTATTAGAGCCAGACACCAGTCGATGTGCTAGTGACGACGCTGGGCCCCGAAGGGGAGTGGATTGTGAGATCCCGCATCAGTTGGAGAGGAGAACGAAACATTTTTTATAAACGTGTGGAAATATCTCCCTAACCGATGCGTTTTAAAAATCCTGAGGAGAAGGCCGAAAGGGAAAGCCTAAAAATGACAATATCTACTAGCGGTGGGCTTACATTGTTAGGGGCAAAGGTCATTAATTTAAGAACAAAAGTGATGCTACTAATACAGGTAAGATAGAGAGAAAACAGTATATTCAACTACAAGTTACTGCCTTTAGTTATATCACTTTATAGTTTTTACACCTCAAAAGCGTCATCATCATACACTTACTTCTGCAAAACAAATTATTTGATAGAGAGAAAGAGAAAGAACAGAGAGAGAGAGAGATTACCAAGTTGGCACTTATCTCTTTTGCCGAAAGACCCTTTTATTCCTTTTTATCGGCCTTGCCTTGGCTTCTGTTTTGGTCGAGTGAACCACAAATGATGCTCCATCTGATGAAGGATGATATCAGCCAAAGTTCAAAAAAGAGATTCCAAACTCATCCATTTCACCAATCGAAGCACTATATCTACACAGAGGCATCAGAAAAAAAAAATGTTTTGACTCTTCCTCGAAGTGTGTGTCTGTGTGTATTATTTGACCAAATTTTTCCTGCTAATGGTTGAGGATTAAAAGGTGGATTTTTTTTATGTTATTTTAATTGGCATCTCTTCTTTAATCTAAAGCAAAACACTTCGCATTCATAAACAGAAACATGTGATGATGTGTGCTGTCCAGATTTTTTCTTGAACTCAAGGTTTTCAATTGAATATTCACTTAATCTTAGCTAAAGATGAATTATGTCCCCATCTACTTTGTTATGAAATGAGAAGAAAATAGCATGTGATATAATCATATAGTAAATTTGATTATAAGATGCATTTAACAAGACATTGAATAATGATACAGAGGGTCTAAAGTGATGCAACCTTTCAGACAATCTGGAGTAAAAATAAATAAACAAAGGGAAAGTAAAAGCAAAGGAAGAGGCTAAAGCTTAGGTTGAAGAGGAATGAGTTGGTGAAGGAGCATGCTCAGATTCTCCACCAGCTGATCCGATCTAATCATTTTAACGTGCCTGGCAGCACAAAAGACAAATGTCCTGATTCTTCTCTTATTATGGCATTGATTTTTGTTTTTTTTTAACTCGTTTCAGATTTTGGTTATACCTTTCATGGGAGTTTTCCTCACTCTCATGGGGCCAATGTGTGGGGCTTGCTGGTTTTACCTTTCCCTTTTCTTTTTCTTCTTCTTTCTTTTCACATTCTTCATCTTGTATTCTATGGTATCACTTATTTCAAAGTGGAAGCCTAATTCCATAATTTCAATTCAAAGAAGCTCATTAGTCTAAAAGTCTGATTCTATCTCTATGGAAGACTAATTAGTACAAGTATCCCACAACTTCTTGATATTGCCTGGCCCATCTTCTTAAATGTCAACAGTGAGTTCTTTTTTCCTCTGTTTTTTTCGAATGCTATTCATTGTAATCATTTGAAAATAACACTTGAAAAAAGGAGAAAAAAGTTGGCAGTCATGGCAATTTCAAGGTCCTAATCTTAGTCAACGGCACTCTAATACCCCACCATTCAACCTATCTTTCCAAGAAAAATCAATGTTATCAACCAAAAGGGCCTAGTAACTTGTCTGGAAAAACACAGTGTTCTTTCAATTAAATGCATGGGACAATTACAGAGAGCTCAAATTTTCAGACGGCTAGCTGTCCGCATTTTAGTGGAGAAATTGCTACCCCGTAATTAAAATATAAATATATATATGTTATAAGAAACCTGATATACAAACCTATAGATTATGCTATACTTGAAATTGTATCAATATTAATACTTTGTATTTAATACAATAGACAAACAGGTAAAAATCCCCTGGGTGCATGCATTCAAGGAACAGGGTATATACTCTGTATTATTTAGCTGACAGCGTAGTATACCACCATATACAACATACTACCAAAATTTGTAACAACCCAAGCCCACTGATAGTGGATATTGTCTGTTGCTAGTGGTGGACTTGAGTTGTTACAAAATTTCAATCCAAATATAAACAAGGGATAAGAAACATATATTCTCTCATTTTTCCAATGAAAGATCGGTTTCTTACTTTCGTACGAGAAAAAATAGTAATACTTAATTGCATTGCAGGGTGGTGCATTTTCACTGTTGTGCCTTTACATATAAATATAGTTATAAACTAACCAATATGATCGGTATGTGCATTTAACAATACAAACTAAGGTCTTAATTGTGGTAATAATATTCCTCCATTCCACAAATATCAACATAAATTTATCTATTGAGCTTTTAGTGATAAATGTTATGCTTTATTCCCTTGTAAATGGTGATATGATACCTGGCGAGCTTCAAGATTTGAGACAGCCATTGCCCTGACATATGGAAGACTCTCAATTACAGCATCAGCCAAATCTGTTATGAAAGTAGGCTCACATCCGAACGCTGGAACACGTCCCCATTTTCCTATCCTAGATTTTAAAGCCAGTTCTTTATATTCCACGTCTATTTCGTCCAAAGTTTCTATGTTCTCACATGCAAATATGATTTTGAAGAATAGCATAAAAATTTAATTGACTGAATATGATTTTGATTTCTAAACTAGGTAATCTGCACGCAGTCAATATGCAAATAGTATCATCAACTCATAAGTGCTGGTTATGTACTTGTTCAAGTTACATTTTGATGCCAAGACATGAATAGTAACACTTATGAACCAAAAAGGTCGATTAGCATTCGACTATAATGAACAACATTTTCTGAACTGTTATATCTTCGAATGTTGCATGTTAAATAGGTATTCATCCTCCCTAACGAAAAAGAAAGTTTTATTGTCATTTAAACCAATCCAGGATGTCAGAATATTGTATGAACATAAATGATCTTCAAGCAATCATGCATCCCCCATTGCACTCACAAACCATGCATTGAACAAGTGAGTGAAAATGCAGAAATTATTCTCAGTATTCCTCTAATCTTTTTTTGTGATCTCGATTGTGAAACAGCAATAATGGTGTGCATTAAAATAAAAGGCAAGAAGAAGAAGAATTTCTTGCCTGTGCATCAGTTATCTTTCGCATGGGAGAACCACCGCCAATTGAGGCATAGCCTTCTCTACACTTGGGCGATCTAAGAGCAGAAATAAAGTGTGCCAATGGTCTTTGGAGGAATCGGAACAATCGTGGCAACCATATTATATCGTAGAAACTCCCACTCATTGAAACCATATTACGGGTCTCTTAAAATGGCCCACTTCATTTCGCCCCAATGGGCTTCCAGCCCAAAACGCCGCACCATAAATACCCCACTCCACTCCCCGCCAACACCCAAACGTCATACTAACTTCGCGCTCTATTTCTCTCTCAGCCTCAAACGCCGTTTCTATGTTATAATATGACCCAACCGCCAGTGCCTCCGCCGCAGCCACCGCCATTATACGGCTCCGGAGTTCAGGTCCGTTGCACCGGTTGTCGCGATGTTTTGGTGGTGGCGATATTTCGGTTGATTCGTCATCAAATCCACAAACGAAGTTCTCTCATCCGAAAACAGCGCTTGATCCGTCGAAAGAAGCCCTAATTTCTTCTGAAGGTTCGTGAAGTAAACAGTATCGAACATTCACGGAGTCTTCGCGTCAAAAAACACGAGGTGCATATTGTTCTTACACTGCCTTCGAAGCATATTCAGAAATGGAGGTTTCAAAATCGGGTCGGGATGAAATTGTAGAGCCTGTCTTGGATGGAATGGCAGGCGGCTCGGCCGATGGAGTGTGCGCCAGAGAGAGGCGACCAAATCGAGGATGTCGAGCCCTAGATTTTCGAAGTAGTCGATTAAAACGATGACGTTTTCGTGGCCCTGAGGGACCCACTCTGCCTCGGCGGCGATGGAGATTCTACCGTCTTAACGGCCAAATGGAACCTCCCAGAAGGGACCTCCAGCCACAATGGTAGCATCTCTGGCAGTGGCGGTGAGAATGTCGGAGCAGGAGACGATTTTGGGGCAGTTTCTCTCAAGCTCGACCTTGATGTCGTCGATAACGGAGAATCCCCACAGGGTTTTGCTCGCCAAAGAAATCGATGCATCACATTCGATCAACTCAAACTATAACTATAGAAACTGATTTAATTTAATTAAAAATATGTATATATAAGAACTTCTCGAGCATATATGCAAGCGAATGAGAGTTAGAGCCAACATGTAATCTTTCTCGATCCAAGATAGCACTTTTCCGATGAATGATGTCCTCAACATTAAGACATGTTTATTGATAAAAGGTTTTAGACAATAAAGATATTACTGACATTGGGACACGATTATCGAAGTAGTAGATAGCATCGACTGAATGTCGACCGCCACAACCAAATGGAGGAGGAAGAAGAGAGCAAAGGAAGGCATCAACGTTACCTCATGGACCTCGAGCTAAATGGGATATGATTTAATGGTTTTTTTTTTCCTGGGATACGATTATAAATGAAGGAATTTTGTACGTGAGAAGCACTAATATTAAAACGTTATGTTTACGTGCAAACATGTTTTCATATATTCATTCGTTATTATATAATATTTAATTTCATAATTATATGTTAATGTTATATTCTAATTAAAATGCATGGAAATTGGCCCATACATCGGTGAATTAAAAATTAATAAATAAAAAAGGAAATAATTCAATTTGTATGCATAAATATCATTAAAAATTAATTAAAATTATTAATTAATAATACGAATCATAAAAGGGGTTGGTTTGAATCACATGGTGTGTCTCGCGGTAAGCAATAAAAAGCTGACACATTTACATTTTAAAATAAAAAAAAATAACAAAAAGTGTTTTTAAAGTTTAAAAAATTATTCCAAATAAATAGGGGAATATTATTGGCAAGTATCGTGTAATGTTACCGAAACTTCCAATCAGGTTCCCCCACGTGGAGTTCCATGTGACGCCAATTAATACCAATGATACGACGCGTTTTACTGTTATTATGAGAAATTATACACGACTTGGAATAATTGGTGTTACGTGTGTTGGTTTACACGTGTGTGTAATTTTACTTTTCCTTTTGTATTTTTATTACAATTAGTTTGGAATTATTAAATAGTCTTATTTAGTTAGTTTTATTTTTGGAATTTGTTCTTTTATTCAAAAAAAAAAAAAAAAAAAAAAAAAGCGTGTCATTTACAAGCAAGGTTTCTTTCCTTAACAGTAACAAAATATGTCAGCTTGTAATCCTCTCAAGTGGGGCCCATTTGGGGGTGGGAAGAGGGCCCACTCACCCATCAATAATTTCAACCACATAGATATTAATATATCTGCTTTGACCCGTTATATATTCAATTTCACGATTTTAAATTGTAAATATTAAGGAGAGGTTTCCACACTCTTATAAGAAATGTGGGATCTTAATGTTAGAAATCACGACTCACCGCAATTGTATGATATTGTCCACTTTGAGCATCAGACGATATGTCAGCCTTCTCGTTGTTCTCCAAAGGGGGTAAACACAAGGTGGTATGCTAATAAAGACGCTGGACTCCGAACAGGAGTGGATTGTGATGTCCCACATTAGTTGGAGAGGAGAACAAAACATCTTTTATAAAAGTGTGGAAACCTTCCCTTAACAGACGCATTTGAGAACTTCAAGAGGAAGCCATAAAAGAAAAATACAAATACGACGGTGGATTGTGCATAGTATCAAAAGTTTTTACCGTTTAATAGTATATATTATATTTATAAATGATTTACTCTCACGACATCGAGTGAAGAGTTATATTACGTGTAGAAGTAAGCAATAGAGTAAGAAAAGATAAAAAGTAATAAAGTTTTATCTTTTAGATGCCGTGAGGAGACGGGCAACAGTTAAAAAAAAAAAATTCAAAGGGATAAAAGAAAATTTAACCGACCATGAAAACTTTAAATTACCTAATTTTTCAATAAAGTCATCAATAATAAAGCGATTTGAGAGGGAATTAAAAGCTATTTTTAAACCTTTTATTTTTCTTTTTTCTGAGTGTGTGTTCATATAAATAAATAATTAATTATTTTCAAAATTACAAAAAATACATTTAATTCTTCATTTACTACCCTTTTCCCCCTTAAAATTATATAAATTTTCACGACAATTATATTTTTTTTCATATTTAACACGTCATTAAATAATAAAATATAAAAACCAATAAAAAAGAAAAAAAAGTGAAGGAATTAGAATCAGGTAAAAAGTGAAGTTAAAGAACGGGTCATTTTCATCCACAGTTACGTTCCTTATCCACCACTCTATGTCCTATTTCATGCTCTTTAGGTTTCGGGTTGGATTGAATGTGATTGGAATTTATATATACAAATAATTGCGAAAAATTGACGCCCTAACTCCCCCAAGTGATCGTCTCCCATTTTCCATAACAAAAGTAGGGCCATCCCTATCTTCACTCCCATATAATGTCAAAAAGAAAATTGATTAGTTTAGTTATAATCATGGTTAATTAACTTAATAATCAAGATAAAGATTTTGACTTTATTAAATTATTAATATTCTACTAGGTTTTTACACTTACGTAGATTAGATATTAAAGATTCCACTAGGTTTTTACACTTAAATTAATACTTACATATTCGACTGGAATTTTACCCTAATTAAAGATTATAAACCTATACATAAAAGACTTTTAAATTGTTGAGGATTATTATTGAGAGCAAGTCCCACATTGACTAATTTAGTGGAAGATTATGAGTTTATAAATGAGGAATACTATTTGACTGTTATATATTTATTAATTTTAAAAATTAAAAGGATTTATAATTATTAGAATAAGAAAGAAAAAAAAAAAGAAGTGAAAGGGTAAAAATGGAAAGAGGGAGAGGGGCGCGTCATTGTCATCCTCGTGGCTAGTTCCCAAAAAGCAATGCCCCTCACTTGAGGCTGTAATCTGTATGGAAGACCAAACCAAAACGCACCGTTTTGCTCTTCATCCTCTCTCCTCCAATTCCTTTATAAAACCGCTCTCTCTCCCTTTCCGTCTCTCTTCACTAATTCCCATTTCTCTCCCTCTCTCTCTCTCTCTCTCTCTCTCTCTCTCTAAAAGCCATAACCAAAGAACGATGTGTCGTTCGGAGCAGGCCTTGGAAGCCACCTCTGTCGTCGTTGATTCCAAATTCACCGCCCGGCCCGTCCTTCAACCCACCTGCAACCGTGTCCTCGACCGCCGTAATTCCCTCAAAAAACCCCCTTCCGCCGCCGTCTCCCCCACCTCACCCAAGTCCAAATCGCCGCGTCCTCCGGCCACCAAGCGAGCCAATGAAACTAACCCCATGAACTCCAGCTCTGACAAGATTCTAATTCCGGCCGCCGCTCTGTCTCGCCCCAAGGCTGCCTTGGATAGGAAGAAATCAAAAAGCTTCAAATTGGCTGGAAATGGGAATGTTGTGATTTGTGATAACGTTGCAGGTGGTGGCGGATTTGAGGTTGCGTCCTTGAGCTACGCTTCTTCTTTGATTACTGACTCGCCGGGAAGTATCGCCGCCGTGAGAAGAGAGCAGGTGGCTCTGCAACAGGCGCAGAGGAAGATGAGAATTGCCCATTATGGAAGATCTAAATCTGCCCGGTTTGATAAAGTTGTTCCTCTTGATTCCAAAATTAAACCCGCCGTTGAACATCGGAGATGCAGCTTCATCACTCCCAATTCAGGTACCAATTATGTTTTTTTTTTAACCCTTTTTTTATTATTAATTTCCCCTGTTTATGATATTCATAAATTAAATTAAATTAAATTTTCTCTTTCCCTTTATAGATCCCATTTATGTTGCTTACCATGATGAAGAATGGGGCGTCCCTGTTCATGATGACAAGTGAGTCTCTCTCTCTCTCTCTCCGACTCTGTTTTTCTCTCTGTCTCTCTCCGCCTCTGTTTCTCTCTCTCTCTCTCCGACTCTGTTTCTCTCTCTCCCTCTCCGACTCTGTTTCTCTCTCACTCTCTCTCTCTCCCACTCTGTTTTTTCTCTCTCTCTCTCTTTCTCTCTTCGACTCTGTTTCTATCTCTTCTCCATCGGATTAAAGTAAAAGTTAATATAATTAAATTAAGTTTACTGTATAATCCATGAATTTGAGTACTGAATTCTGGAATTGAACACAGAATGCTGTTTGAATTGCTGGTTCTAAGCGTGGCCCAGGTGGGTTCCGATTGGACTTCAATTTTGAAGAAACGCCAAGATTTCAGGTACCAAAAACAACAATTTCCATCAAATAATTCTGTTTTGTTCTTATTAATTCACTAATTTAATTATTGTTCTTCGTTGCCCAGAAATGCATTTTCGAGTTTCGTTGCAGAAACGGTGGCCATTTTTTCCGACAAACAGATGCTATCAATCAGCTCGGAATACGGCATAGACATTAACAGAGTCCGAGGAGTCGTCGACAACGCTATCCGAATCCTCGAGGTAATGAGAATTAAATATTTTAAATCAAAACCCATTGACTTAGTGGTCAACCCCATTTAATTAATATTTTTAATTACAGATTAAGAAGGAGTTTGGATCATTCGACAAATACATTTGGGGATTTGTGAACAACAAGCCGTTTTCACCGCAGTACAAATCCGGCCACAAAATTCCGGTGAAGACATCAAAATCAGAGACCATAAGCAAGGACATGATCAGACGAGGGTTCCGATCGGTCGGACCAACCGTCGTCCATTCCTTCATGCAAGGCGCCGGTCTGACCAACGACCATCTGACCAGCTGCCACAGGCATCTCCACTGCTCTATAACCGCCGCCGGCCGTCGCGCTCCGGCGGTGGTAGTAGAGGAGACAACGACGGCGTCTGAATCTCTGTAGAATTGATTCGAGACTTTAATTAACAAGACAAAAAGAAAAAGTGGTAACCTTTACGAGGAATCAGTCGATCAACGATGATTTGCTTGCTAATTAACTAGATAACCTCTTTTTTTTTATTTTTTTGTGGGGTTTGTGTATATTAATGTCTATATATAAATAGACTTGTAAGTGAGAGAGAACAAAAAAATTAAAGAAAAAAAAGAGATTGTGGGGTGTGAATTAGTGTGGTTTTTTTTTTTTTTTTTTTTTTTNAAAAAAAAAAAAAAAAAAAAAAAAAAAAAAAAAAAAAAAAAAAAAAAAAAAAAAAAAAAAAAAAGAGAGAGAGAGAGAGACAGACAGACAGCATGTGCTTTGTGCAATTGGGAGGCAATGGCATGTGGGTCTGTCAGTTTGCTTTTTTGTAAATTCCCATGTGATCCATCCAAATTTCAAAATATTATTAATCATTATTATTATTATTTTGTATTTTATGTTTTTTTTTTTCATAACAGCCTGTTGCTTTGCTTTATTCACAAGGAGCAAGACCAGACAGCTTCACCCATACCCAACTTTGCTTCCATCAAACCATCCCTCAACTTCTTTGAGAGATCCACATTGATCGAAGAGATAAACAAGTGCTACCGAAAACGTTAGGCCTTAAAAGGGTCAACGCCTTAAAAGGGTCTGAGTGGATTGTGAGATCCCATTTGTTTGGAGAACGAGCCAAAACAAAACATTCTTTTAAAGGGGTTAGAAACCTTTCACACGATTACAATTGAATTGTGTTCTTATCTGAATTGGTAACATGACATTATTATAAATAATAATAATAATAAAAAGATGAAAAATTAAGTGGGTTGATTTGATGGATATGAGGTGATCATGTGGTGTGAGCTGTTACGATTGTTAAAAAGGCAAAACCTTTTTTTGAACCCAAATGAAGATAGGAATCTTAGCATGTGCTCAACCTCTCCCTATCCCCTTTTAGGGGTTTTATGAGTTGTTAAATAAATAAATAATTTAATAATTTAATTTAACTATGAAATTAATATATATATTATATATCTAAAGCCCAAAAGGGAAGTGGGACACAAAAAGTGATTATTTATTATTCAAAGAATGTTTTGTATTTGGATAATCTAATAATAAGCAAAAATAAAATAAAAAAATATTTATTCCAAAATTAAAGAAAATGAAGAAAAATGAAGGAAGATTCTAGATGCATTGGGAGGGAGCAAAGCCGACCTTCTTATTAAAGAAATCAAATTGCCAAAGGAAATTTTGCTGAAGAATATTGCCGATGATATTGGTGTCTGGAAAAGGAATAGAAGTGAAGCCAAGACATAAGATATCGTCCACCTTCACAATGTAGCTTTTGGGCGGCGGCTCGAACACCACCCCCATCTCGAAATGGAATCGAAGCTTGGGGGCCATTTCATGGGAGTAATGGGTTTTATTGAAGCAATAAGCGAAGGGATCCGCAAGGATTTGCTGGAATTTCTTCAGCTTTTGAACCATGGCTTCCACGAACACGTCGAACGCGGGTGCGGTGAGCATGCTGAGACTGGTTCCGGAGTCGAGAATGGTGCCGCCACCTTTCTGGATGTCCCAAACGCGGGGAGGGATGTTGAGCGTGACTCCGTCGATAGAGATTCCGATGAGCCCTACGCCGTAGTAGCTGTTGAAGGGGCCGCCGAGGTGGAGGTTGATGAAGGTCATGTTGCCGACTGGAGCAACAGAGAGGGGTTCGGCGGGGGGGTAGCCTAGGATGAAGTAGCTGGTGGCGCTGTGGTGGCTGAGATGGTCGATGAGGCAGTAGGATAAGCCGCCGCCGTTTTTGTCTAGGGAGGCTCTGTGGGCGAAGGAGTGTGCGCCAGTTCCTACGCCAAGGATGCCGTCGACTCCTTTCAACTGCATTGCATTGAACAGTTCGGTGCAGCCGATTAGAGTATCATGGATCTGTTTCTCTTTTCCGTTTGTGAGGCCTACGGTTACCGTCTCGTTTGCGAACAATCCCGTTGCAGCCCCTCCTCCTATGTAGCTATTTCACACTCCAAATAAAAAATATAACTCAAATTCATCTCAAATTGAATCTAATTCCTCTCAAATTGAATGGAATTGCGCAGAAACAGACTCTGATTCGTAGGATTAGGATTTCATAGCTAAACCCTAATTCTTCGCACATACCTGTAATCATAGACGCAAGGGTTGGAAGGAACTTCACAATCCGGGATGGCGAAGAGTAGTTGGAGATCACCGAGGCAGAAATCTGAGCCGCAGGTAATCAATTTGAAAGAGGATGAACGATTCGCTAAAAACGAATGATCGAATTTCACTTTGTGTTCACCACGGCTCTTATGATGAGCGTGGGCGCTGCAATTTCCCAAGCACCGCCGATATCTACATTTCAACCAGGTTAGGTCACTCCCGGTGTCCACAATCAACAAAAACTTCTGCGGCGGCGTTCCGACTTTGAACTGAACAAAATACTCATTAGTTCCAAAATCGAAGCCTGAGCTTATTTTCAGCTGTATCGGTGTAGATGACGACATAGGAAGCAGACGATCCGTCTTGCTCATTTTCATCGACGTGGAGATTGAGCGTTGGCGGTTGTGGTCGTGCTCGTGAATATCTCTGAACCGATCGGTGCTTCCCAGAGTCCTCCGTTCACCATAAAGCTTCTCTTCGACATGTGGATGGTGGCGATGCATCACATCCAGCTTCACCATCGGCATCCCTGATGGTTGTTGTCGTTGTTGTTGTTCATCGCCGCCGAATGCGACGTGCACAGAGAGAAAGAAATTGAAGAAAAAAAAGATTAAAAAAGGTGAAATAGGCGACATTGGATTCCTGTAACCTAACATACAAACATGAAGGGAGACTGTAATGTCAGAGAGATGGAGCAATATACAAAGCGGCGGCAATGGCGGACTTATAAATCGAAGAAGCTTACAATTTTGGAGTACCTATTAATGGCGTTTCCTCTCTCCCTTCTTTTGTATAACAAACTAACTGACCCATCAATTACAGCCCCGCGACCATATCTTCTGTTTTTGTACCTTTTTTCTGTTTCCACTAGAAAAAAAAAACATATATACTTAATTAATAAATAAATTAATATATATTCAGCGTTAAATGATAATTTTTTAAAATATTTTTGAATTTATTAAGGTGTCTAACTATTTTTAATAAATATATTTCTTTCAAATAAATATTTTAAAAACATGTATAAAATGGAAATTTTATTTTGTAGAGAACCCAATTACTACCAATTTTTTGCGAGTCTCACATTCACTAATTTAGAGAATGATCATGAGTTTATAAGTAAATGAATACATCTCCATTCGGATGAGGCCTTTTGGGACAATTATATCATAGCCATACTCTAAACTTAGTTATGACAATAGAATCCTCAAATATCGAACAAAGAATTGTGAATCTCAGAGATCAATTATATCATAGTCATACTCAAAGTGACTAAAGTGTCGAGCAAAGGGTGTACTTTGTTCGAAGGCTCTAAAGAAAGGAGTCGAGCCTCAATTAAGGGGAGACTTATATAGTGTACTTTGTTCGAGGAGAGGATTGTTGGAAGTGAGTCCCACGTTGACTAATTTAAGAAATGATTATGTGTGTATTTTAATCTTACTCTTCTAATATTAAAATAAAATATTTTTAAAATAAATAATTTATATAATATATATATATATATATATATATATATATATATATATATATATATATATATATATATATATATTTCTGTGTTGTAATTTTCTTATTCTACACTTTGTCGCGGTGGATCCGAATTGAACCACTTGACAAAAGGCAGTAAAAAAACGCGTTATTTCTTCTTCACGATTTAAGTAGAGCAAGTTAAAAGGCAACTCCAAGAAATGGGTTATTTGAGGAAGAATATATTAATAGTTGATAACTGATTTTTCCCAAATTTAATAACCAAAACAACTCATATTTACTTAAGTTAACAAAATATATGAGAAAATTTACTATTTTACTATGCCTCCCTATTTACTATTTATGATAATTTACTTTATCAGAGGACTCCATGACCTAACAATTATCCCTGGAGACTAATCCAATCAACCAAGAATTTCATTCTATCCCTAGAGACTAATCCAATCAACCAAGAATTTCATTCTCAAACGAGCATGAGCATCTTCACTACACCATACCAAGTGAGGCTTTGTACAACCTCAATATTCCAACATCTTCAAATTTAATAACTAAAACAACTTATATTTCCTAAGTTAGCACGCAATAGTGAAATATATGAGAAAATTTCTATTAGATAATACTTTAGAGGGAGAAGGATGGGGAATAAACACTACAGAAATATAGAAACATGCTAATTGCAATTCAGTCCAGATTTATTGTAGCCTGTATTCTTAATTTAAAGAAAGGATTCGTGTACCATTTCGTTTCTTGCGTCAAACTTTAGTAAGCGAGGCTTTCAAGTGTGGTTGAAGACTGGTTGAGCCAGTAGCCATCTGAACCACGTAGGAAAGTTCTCCATCCACCAGTTTAAACGCTCTGCTTATTTCTTTCACCTGTTCCATAGAGACAGGTAAACAGTTTGGCTTTGTCTGGGACTCTGGTATGTTTGATCAGTATTACAAATTATTGATTAACAAGCATATATTATATGCATGCAATGTGAGCAAAAGGAGAAGGAAACCGAATGGGGACGAGAGGAAATCATTTGCCGTAAAAAAATGACGAGAAAAAAAGATCCTAGTTCTGTCTGGTACGTTGTATTGATCTAATACAAACGGGGACGAGCAGTTTTCCATTGGTTAACAATAATGTATCTCTTTCATAACGCGCTGTTTTGGGGTTCAAGTATCGTCTCTTATAGAATCAAATCATTTGTACAGTTATAAAGGGATGTTTGGCTCATGATTTTAAAGTCTCTCATTATGAAGCCTAGAAGTGGAACATTTAGGTTTGTGTAACACTTGTGTTGGGATTGTATAAACAAATAAATTATAGAAACTTGAGTTCCTATTAGGATATTTAGTTCAAAGGTTTATCATTTAGAAGGATTTGTATAGAAATGGTAGATTTCACCACGCGAGATCTCACAATAGTCGGAGAGAAGAACAAAACATTCTTTATAAGGGTGTTGAAACTTTTTCCTAGTAGACACGTTTTAAAACCGTGAGGCTAGCAGCGATACATAACGGGCCAAAGCGGACAATATTTGCTAGCGGTAGGCTTGGGCTGTTACAAATAGTATTAGAGCCAAATACCGGGCTGTGTGCCAGCGAGAATGTTGGGCCCCTAAAGGGGGTGGATTGTGAGATTTCATATCGGTTGGAGAGGAGAACAAAGCATTTCTTATAAGAGTGTGAAAATCTTTTTCTAGTAGACGTTTTAAAACCATGTGGCTGACAGCAATATATAATGGGCCAAAGTGGACAATATCTCCTAACGACGGGCTTGGACTATTACACATAAGCTTGGGTTCATAATCATGAATGGTTGGGACAAGCAAACTGATAATACCAAAGCAAGGGTTTAACTTCTTAACCCTAAGTCACACAGGTCTAACACGTACGTTTATCCTATAAGGTTTTTACTCGCCATAGTTAGTAGTGATGACAATTAACTATCAGTATCATGGAACGACAAAATTTGAAACCTAAAAATAATATGTCCGTATTTGAAATGGCCCTGAATAATGATGATCTAGTAAACGTTACCTTAGAAGCATTCCCCACAACTTCACTTTGGAGCATTATCACTTTCTCTTCTGCATTATATGTTCCTTTCTGGAAGAGAGATAAAAATCGGGTTATATTAAATGGAAAGTAAAACAGACGTCTCCATTAGTTGCATTGCAATAATCTTTCACGGTTTTAGAAAATGGAAAACAATATTCAGAAGTTTATGATACTGATGCAAATAATACTAGTTATAAAATTTCACTGCCAAAAGCATATAAAAATTGGCTATAGAAACCAGAGCTTTTATGGCAATGTGAAAGCTCACTAGCAAGTAATATGAATCAATTTTTCTTCTTTTTCTTCAGCTAAAAGTCACATCTAATCATCAGAAATTGCAGCTGCTTTATTTTTAAATTCAATCCTATTAAGAGAACCTCCCTAGAACCTTGAATTTAATGTGGCTTATTTCCCTTCTTATCTAGTTCACCAGAACACCTGCTCCTTTCTGTTGTGTGAAGAATATGCACACAGCAAGTGAAAATAAAGAAAGGCAATCTACACCAACACCACGAGCTCAAAAATCCACAGCACAGATAAAAAACTGAGCACAAGAAGATCAGCAGCTAAGACAAAAAGAACTTGTAGTTTGATCAATTTTGACACATCCATATGGAGGAGGGATTTGAGCAGTTTAGTTTCATTTTTCACAACTATGAGTGTTTAGGTCAGTTTTAATCTCACGGGACAACCGCCTTGACCCTATAAAATATTCGGATGTCAAGGAAACTAAAATAAACCTTAGGTAAGTGGTCACCATGGATTGAACTCATTTCCTCTAGACCCTTTCGATCCATGACCTTGTTGACCACCAGGCAAGCCCATGATGGTTAATTTCATTTCAGACTTATCCACTTTAACTACATATTCTATCCATAAAGCTGACTTTCAAATGAACTACCAACTTTTTTATACATGATTTCCTTCACAAATAATGAATTACCTAAACCTTTTTGTATTTGTGTCGGCTATTGGATCGAGCAGCTGGTGTGCAGTTGCAACTCTGCAGAATCTAACGTAGCAATTGTGATATGGTTGACAGTGACAGTGTAGTTTAAGAATCCAAGGTGTAGGCCATGGAGCGAGTCGAGATGGAAGAAATTGAATAGTTTAAATTTACAAGATGGCGACTGAGATTTTCAATGGTTTGAAAACGTGGCCGTTCGTTTTCATGGGAAAGACAAGGCCAGATGAGGGAAAAAGGAAGATTTCATTTCAGCAAACAAGATGGATTATATTGTTAGATCACATACAGCATAGAGCCACTTTGCATCATGTCACAAATCCGTGTGTTTCCATCATTCTTCTCAAAATAAAAATCAGAGAACATAAGCACGTCTATACTCAACCACAATTCTCTTTCAGCCTATGAATTTGAATGTAACAGTAGAGCACACGAGAAAGAGACAGCGATTTTGACCTGAACTTCAACGAGACCAGTGCTTTGAGCGATTACAACTTCAATGGTACCATCGGGCTTGGGACGCCAGTAGCCACTCTCAGCGTGCATAGGCTCTCTAGAATCGAGTTTCCAAGTCTTTTGGCTGTAAGAAATCACTGGCTTCTCCCACAATCATCGTATTAAAAAAATCCCCAAACAACGAAGATAACCGATTAGACTAAAAAAGCAAAATCCAACCGCGTGGAATGAGATAATTATAATTATATTAAGATGATATCAGCGAAAACAACAAATAGAGACGAAGAACAGGGAGTTAAAGGTTACCTTGCCGGAATGGGAGAAATGGATCTCCTCGCCGTAAGAGAAGGAATTAATGGTGGGGAATCCACCGTCGCCTTTGCCTCTCCATGTTCCAAGTAAAAATGATAGCGGTGCTACGGCCGGGTGGATGGACAACGGAGCCGGTATCGGCGGCAGTTCTCCGTCCATTTCTTCACCTGCTATGACTCCGTTCTCTCTTGTTCGCCTTGTGTTGGCGTTTTCAGTTTTTACAGACGGAGAACACGAAACATAGTCCTTGTCCTTGGCGCCGTGGCTTCCCTCGTAAACGGAAAGTAACTATCCATTTAATAAAATTACTTTTTAGTCCTTAACCTTTAGTCTGAACTAAGTGTATTCTTGGGTTTGTACATTTTTAGTAAAACATTAATTAATCCTATCAAGTAATTTATTAAACTTTCATTCTAAATTTTCATAAAATATATATATAATAATATTAATTTAGTTGAAGGGATCCAATCCAATGTAATTTTAATAAAATTAACAAAATCACGCTTTTTTTTATCCTTATCTTATAATTTTTTTAGACAAGCAGATTGTTAAAGCAGCTTGTTAATGATCTCAGTGTTTTATTCTTTCGTTTATCAGTGCTGGTAATCCAGTTATTCTTTCGTTTATCAGTGCTGGTAATCCAGACAAGCAGATTGTTAATGATCTCAGTGTTTTATTCTTTCGTTTTTTCATCGTGCTGGTAATCTATACCAGCAAATTGTTAATGATCTCAGTGATTGTTAATGATCTTAGTGCTTTATTCTTTCGTAATCTAGTTCCATACAAGCAGATTGTGTAATGATCTCAGTGATTGTTAATAATCTCAGTGCTTTATTCTTTCGTAATCCAGTTTACAATTTAGAATTCTTGGAAAAGTGCAGATTTAGTTGGTACTTTTCGATTTAAATTACTAATTTAATCCTAAAATATTAATTTGGTATATATTTAACATTAAAATTTTAAGAATTTCTTATTTATCTCTACATTGTTATGTCTATTTATGTGTTGTTTTAAAAGAATCTTTAAAATTATAATTATGTAGCAATTATGATTTAAATAATAGATTCATTTTATATTTGTTAATACGTTAAAATTTTAATAAGTATTTAAAAAAAAATGTTCCATATATCCGTAAAACTTATTAATACGGTGATTAAACTATTTGTAATCTAATTAACTTTTAAATTACATATTTTGGGTGTTTTTTTAAAAAAATACAACATCATAAATCTCACGAAATTGCATATTACGTATGCATTTTTTATAATTTATAAAACGAAAAAAGAAAAAAACTAAAAATAAAAGACTTTTTTTCTCAAATAAGGAGAATTTTGAATACTTTCAATATATAAATTATTGACCCCAAAAAATGCTTTAATTATTCATAAAAAAAAAAAAAATAATAAAGATCGGTGGTACAAGAGTGTGGGTGGAAAATTCAGAAGTTAAACTCAAAGAGATCCCTCAAACTCAAGGGAGACTTTTGGCATCACCATTGAAGTTTTGAAAATTAGGGCGAAATCTCGCAGAGGAAAGTAACCGTCTATTAATACATCATCGGTCCGTTATTGTATCAGAAACATTAAGCACAACCATATAATAAGAGAGTGTGCGCATACCAGGCCATATGTACAAGAGCTGAAGCCATCTGGTTTTCCAAACATCACACAGCAAACAAGCAAGCAAAGCAAAGCAAAGTCATTAGCAGCAATTCAATAACCTCCCTGAATGAAAGCATTCAGACGGTTTAGCTCCTCCCGGTGCTCGCTCACCACAGCCCGAACCACATCTCCGATCGATACCATGCCTTTCATACCCTTGTCATCGATGACCGGTATGTGCCTAATTCGATTATCTGCCCACCAAGCAAGAGTACTCCATGTTATATTTCATGGTGTAGTGATAAATATATATTGCAGCTAGACTGAAAAAAACAACCTTTTCTCTAACGAGGAAAAAAAAAAAAGGCACGTTTGAACATATTCTTTCAAAAGTTGCAATTTTACTCTGGGTGTTCTATAAATGTTTCAAAGTTTCCGTTCTAGATTGCAACTACATCATTCCACCCTCCAAGTCCCGACTTCCATTTGGAAATAATAAAAGAATTTCTACTCTAAGGGTAATTAACATTTTTTGTAACGAAACAAAAGGAAAATTGAGATGTGTTTTTTCTATAATTTAACCTAAAAAGTAAAGTAAGGTAATACCAGTCATAAGTTGCATAGCTCGTAAAACCTTGGTGTCAGGTGTCACAGTGATAAGTTTGTTCTGCAAAATTAAAGGAATTTGTCATTGCTATTCGGACTTGGAAGGGTCGATTTTTTGTGCAGCCATAATAACTTCATGCAAGAAAAGACATTATTTGTAAATACATTTCCAAAATTTATAAATGAAATGCTAATTGAAACTATTTTAAAAGAAATCAACCACAAATAAACGAAAATAGAATGAAATTGTAGATATTTCGGCTTAAATTTTATTTTTAATAGAAAGCATCTAATTTCCGTCATTGCTCACGCAACTAGTAGAGAAATAAGGCTGGCTGACATATAAAGGTGACAGGTTTATACCTCCTCAGTCATGATATCCCCAACTTTGGTAGACTTGGAGGACCTGCCTTGCACTATAATCTTTCTCAGATAATCTAGAAATGTGTGAAAAGAAAAGCTCAGAATTCAGATATTACATTCCAGATAATCTAGAAATGTGTGAAAAGAAAGGCTCAGAATTCAGATATTACGTTCCAAAAGACAAGAAAGATGCCTTCATTGGACCTAAAGCTTAGAACTAACCTTCTATGGTTATAGTACAAGGAAAACTGAAAGAGAACACGAGGAGAAATGACAAGAAAAAAAAAAGAGGAAAAGCCACGATGTAGGAGTAATCTCTACATGGGTTTTAGTTCTACACGGCACAATCATAAGTAGAAACCATTTTGGGTACCCAAAACTACGGAAATAATGCAAATTTACACCACCCAAAAACAACATTAAAAAAAAAACCAGCTCACTTTGAAATCTCCACCGAAAAACCAATAAAAGACTAGCAATCCAAATGGAAACTGATCAGAAGTATGAATTTCCAAAAATCAGCCAATTGCAGAATGCTGGAACCTAAAGATTTCTGAGTACATAAATTTGCTAGTTGTCCCAAACTACAGTATAAATGAATCTCTTCATTCTAAATTAGGATAAACCATAGATTTTGTAGTTGAAACCATTTATTCAGAGCTTATTGTATCACGTACCTCTCTCTGTTATAATACCAGCTATTGAATTTTGCTCCGCAGGTTTAACAACCACCAAGGCTCCAACATTGTGCTGGGTCATCTTTTTTATGTAAAAAAGGGGGAGTGTGTAAGCAAGAACAGCAGAAGAAGACAATTTTTTTTAACAAAATTCTAATCAAAATAATGAAAAAAGTATAAAAATGTTCAAGGGAAACAATTCCCAAAAGGAAGCGTACCGACTGAACGGCATCATAAACTGTGTCATCTGTGGTGCACCAGAGCCATGATCCGTCAGCACTTTTTCCTTTTGCTTTCAAGATGTCATCAATCGTAGTGCTTTCAAAGCCATGCTCTTCAATGTTTGCGGAACTGGTCGATGTTGTGAAGCGTGAAAGCATTGCAGGCCTCATATAGGGGTTTGCTACACGAAGTTGTTGCAGAACAGCAGTTTTCACAATGTTTCCATGTGATAGAAATGATCGCACAGCACCTTGCATCTTCACCTGTTCAAGCAAACGCTTAAAAATGGGTACAATAAGCTCTCTTTGAAGTGCGTACCATATCAGAAAACAGTAGTCCGTTACAAATATACCTTTGATAATGATTTAAAACATTAGTAAATTATTACATTAAATTAGAATTTTTGTTACTAGAGTGTAAGATCTGTTTTATTTAGTTTCTAAATTTCAAGCTTGGTCACTAAACTTTCAATTTTCTAAAAAAATCATGAAGTCTAAGGCTTCATTGGAACTAAAATTATATCAACTAATTTTACAAAAATTTGAATTTTCTAAGAACCTTTTAGACACAAATTAAAAAATTAGAGATATATAAGATACTTCTGAAAATTTAGAGGACAAATAGATACATACCTCAAAATTTATAGACTAAATTTGTAATTTAACAATTAATTTATAATTTACCTCTAGAAATCCACCTAGCAAAAAAACAAGAAACAACAGCCTGGAAGAACCTTGACAATTGATGCACAATAATGTATGTACAGAAATTCCTAACATGACGTGAGATGACTAATTTTTCCTCTTTCCACAGAGTTAGTTGCTAGACATCACTTACGAAATAAATTAGCTCAGCTCATCTATATTAAACTACTTACCTTATCCGTAGTAATTTACTCCATGAATATGAAGATCTAATGCAGACAAACGTGTAGGGGAAAGTGCGGATGAAGAAAATCAATTAATTACACACGCAGAGGAACAATTATTGAATCCACCGGCGTTGGTCAAAGCCAGCACAGTTCCATTAATTAATGCAATCGAGACGAATTAAACGTCCGTAATACAAAACAGGATTCAAACTCGATCCAGCTCGCTAAAACCGAGATCAGTACACTAAACATACTGAGTACAAAAGAACGGAAGAAGAAAAAGGAATCGATCAGCACATCAGTAAGGAAAAACAATCAATCAGTCGAGCAGAGCTTGACGAACGCATTAAAACGAAGAGCGAGAGAAAAATCAATCGTCGCTACCAGCAAGAGAAGACGAAGCGAAAGAAATCCAAATACCTCACAGAGTTCAACGTTGATCGCAGGAAAACGATAAGATTCAGACGATTGGATAACAAAATGAGGATGAAATGGAGAAAATAAGAGATATACCTGATGAAGATCCGGAAGAAAACCTCTCGATTCACGAAGGAAGTGGAGAACCAAAAAGAGTGACGGTTTAGTGAGGTACAGATAATGAAACCTATTGGAAGGAAAAGCTCACGGATATGGAACTGTTACACCCGATTTTATCTCTCGATTCTTTCGTTTTTTCTTTTTTCTTTTTGGACACACTTTCTTTCCCCACCGCTGTTCTTGCTTTTCTCATCCATCTTTAGTATTAATTTCTTTTTCTTTTTTTCTTTTTTATGTGATTGCAATTTTTTTAATTTATCTTTTAAATAAATATAATATCTAAAATTATTTTCAAGTTTTGATGAACTAAAATAAGAATATATATATATATATATATAAGAATATATATATATATATATATATATATATATATATATATATATTATTTTTAAGTTGTAAATTTCAAATTTTGAATTATAATTTTAGTTCTTATTTATTGAAATATATAAATTTATTACGCACAAAATAGATAATTCATAATTATGCTAGGCTACGAATTTAAATTTTTATTTAATTTATCAATTAATTTTTAAAAAAAATGGTAAAGAGTTTAGTTTTTTTTTTTTTTTTTTTTTT